GGCCCCGCGCCCCCGGCCTGGGCCTCACCCTCGGCCAGGACTCGCCGCACCCGCAGCCGCAGCTCGCCCAGCTCCACCGTCTGCCCCACGAAGTCCGTCTGGTCGCGGCCGGCAGCGCCGCCCAAAGAGCCCGGGCCTGCCAGGAAGTCCAACGCAGACTGCAGCAGCGACATGGCTGCGACCCCGCAGCGGGCGCCGGAGCGGGGAGCTCGGGTCCAGCTGCGTCCGGGTCCGCTCAGCAACCGCCAGCCCCGAGCCGCACCATCTTCCGCCCCGACGCCGTGACGTAGGCCCGCGGGGGCGCGTCGCGGCCCCGAAAAACGCCGTGCCGGGCAGGCGCGCGTGCGCGTGCGTAGATTCCTGGTCGCGGATCGCGCCTGCGCGGCGCCGCCCGCCTCGTGACGAGCTTCCGGCCGCCGCGCTCCGCGCGCCTGGCGGGCCCGGACGCGGACGCGCGGGCGGGCGGAGTGGCTCCGGGCCCGGCGTGTAACCGTTCCCCAGGCGGCCGCGTCTGCGGAGGCTACTTTTCAGGGTGCTCGGGCCTACGGTGGCGTCAGCCCGCGGCCGGGAGCGGCTCGCTGGACCGCAGCTCTTGAGAAACGCGCAGTTTGGCCGCCCAGCCAGCGACATTCCCCGCGACTTGTTGAGTAAGGTCGGTAGCACCGGGCACGCGCCTAGCCGGTTCGCTTTGGTGGGGGGCCGGGTCTAAGGGTTTGTTCTGAAAAACTCTAAAAAACCCAGGTTTCCAGCTTCCGTAGAGAAGTCAGAGCTGGCAGCACTGGACCCCGGATCGCGTGTCACCGACCACCTACAGCTGCCCCTTCGGGTGAGACCCATTCACCGGCCCGCTCGGCGCGTTGGTGTCATCTGCCGGTTCGTGTAGGCAGCCCCCTGTGTCCTTTCTCAGACCGAACAACGGATCTGAAAGTCCCAACCAGCGTCTTAGTCCTCCTAGAATTTCAAGTTATTAAAGCCTCTTTCAGGACAAGCGTGTGTTATTACCCTTAAAGCAACAGCAGCTTCGTTTGTACCGTGCTTGTTTGCAACAGACCTTTTATGAGTAGCTCGGAGAAGGAGGCACGGTCTCCTTACCCCGCCCGCTGCCTTTTTCGGGGAGAAGAAAACCTGCTCCATTGTCGACAAGCGTTTCCGCCAGAATTCCCCGAGGCGTGGCGTTTCCCAGCAGCGCATTCGTCTGGTGCCCCTGAGGGCTCAGGAAGGAGGCCGAGCCGTAGACCGGTATTTGTTGTCCTCAGCATGTCGATGGCGGTTGACTGTCTTAGGAGCTGAAGAGAGCGGAAAACAGAGTTAGGCAGAAGGATGCTAGAACATTCCGAGAGTAGACCAGCGAATGGAGAAGGAGCAGCCAGGGACTCGGGGAGGAAACCGAGGGAGCAGTGCGTCCCAGAGCCGAGGAAGATGTTTCCAGGGGCAAAAAGCTGTTTAAGAGCGACGTAGAAAAAGAAATGAAAGATGTGCCTTAGGTTTAGCAACAATGAGATTATCCTGTGATCTTTCAAGAATAGTTCCATTGGAGTGGTGGGGCGGAAGAAGAAGAAAGAAGTGGAGAGTTGGAGGTGACTCGAGGTTGGCTGTGGAGAAGGAGGTGTGGGAGCTGGAAGATGGTGTGCGGTTGAGGTGCTTTAGGATGGGAATTTTTGAGCAGCTTGAAGCTGATGGGAGGGAGCTAGTGGGGCGAGAAGGTTTGCCTGTACAGGAGAGGGAGGAGTGACGAATAAAGTCCCCTGGAAGAGAGGGGAATGACATCCAGAGCATAAGGAGAGCAATACTCACTTTGGGCATAAGACACACACTTTTCATAGCGGAGGGAGGGAGGGAGGGAAGATGGCTTGCAGCTGCAGGTAATCTTATGTGTTTATTGGAATGAAAGCGAAGGAATTCTCTGATGGCTTCTGTTTTCGCCATGAATGAGGGAAACAAAACATGTGCTGAAAACAAGAAGGGAGGTAAGAAAGCGAAGGTTTAAGCAATGTGGAAAAGATGTGAAATAGCTGTTGTGGAAAACCTAGTGCATAACTCACTAGAAAGCATGGTAGAGTTTCAGGATTCCTTTGAATTTGGAATTTATCCTCATATGACCTAGGATCAGGTAGAGTTTTAAATGGTGTAATTACTTTGGAGACCAGAGTTTACTCAGACTTTTTATTTCATAAGTATTTATGGAGCACCTTCATATCCTGGCACCACACGGACCATGTTCACTCAGTCTGTATCTCCACACTTCTCTCCTGAACTCTTAGACCTTTGCTGTTAGATATCTCATGTTGTGTATACATGTTTAAAACTGAATTTATGGTCTTCATCTGCAAGTCTCTGTAGATTTCTCAGCAAAGAATACAGCCAGAAATTAAGAGGGTCATTTTGTAAGGATGAAGCAGTACATTCATCAAAAAGTTGTAACAATTCTAAACAGTTTTGCACCTAATAATAAAGCTTTAAAATACATGAAGCAAAACCAAATTTTTTTTAATCAAAACCCAATTGTAAGTTGGTGCTGTAGATTGTAGTTGGAGATTTCAGTACCCCTTTCACAATATACGATAGAACAAGTACTGAGAAAATCACCAAGAATATAGTTGAATGATACCATCAACCAGCTTGATCTAATGGACATTTATGGAACACTTTACACAATACCAGCAAAATACACATTTTCAAGTGTGTAAAGGACATTTACCAAGATGGATCATATTCTGGGCTATGAAACAAGTATGTTCTCTGACCTCGATGCGATTAAGTTAGAAAATCAGTAACAGATATCTGGAAAATCTAAATATTTGGAAACTGAATGACTCACTTCTAAATTACCCATGGGTCAAAGGAGAAATCAGAAGGAAAATAAGAATTTTGAGGTGAGAAAATAAACATGACATTTTAAAATTTGTGGAATGTAGCCAAAACTATACTAGAAGATCTCAAACCAGTAATTTCAGCCATTCATCTTAAACAAAAACAAGAGCAAATGAAACCCAAAGTGAGTACAGAAAGGGAAATAGTAAGTGTCAGGGTGGGAACCAATGAAATAGAAAACAAAAACAGAGAAAATCAGTGACAACAAAAGCTGATTCTTTGAGAAGATCAATAAAATAGAGAAATCCCTGGCCGTATTGAACCAGAAAAAAAAAAAAAGACAAATTAACAATATCATGAATAAGAGTAATGATGTCAGTGCTAAAGGGATAATCAGAGAACATGAACACCTTTATGCCAACAAATTCAGCAGCTTAGACTAAAGGAACAAATTCCTTGGAAGACACTACCATGGCTCGCTCACTCAAGAAAAAAGTAGATAACTTGAATAGCCTTATATCTATTAAAGCATTGAATTTACAGTTAAAAACTAGAAATATTACTAATTCTGCATAAACTTAAAATTGAAGGAAGGACGTATTAACCAGCCCAGCCCATTCTATAAAGACAGCATTATTCTGACACTGGAATTTGACAAAGACATTAAAAGAAAAGAAAAAGATTAATATCTCTTGTGGACATAGATACAAAAATTCTTTTAAAACATTTTTTAGCAAGTTGAATCCAATACTGCAAAGCATAGTATAACATGACCAAGTGAGGTTTGTCCCAGGAATGCAAAGTTAGCTTAGCATTTGAAGATTGATCAATGTAATTTACACTATTATCAGAGTGAAAAAGAAAACCAAATGGATCATCTTACTAGACACAGAAAAAAACATGATAAAACCCAACATCTATTCCTAATTTAAAAAAAAAAAACCTGCCAGCAAACTAGGAATGAAATGAAACTTGGCCAGCGTATTAAGGGCATTTATGGTGCTCCTGGGTGGCTCGGTTGAGCATCTGACTCTTGATTTCAGTTCAGGTCATGATCTCAGGGTCATGAGGTTGGGCCACATCTGGCTCTGCACTGAGCATGGAGCCTGCTTGAGATTCTCTCCCTCTCCCTTTGCCCCTCCCCTCCATGTGCATGTGCATTTTCTCTCTCTCTCCCTCTGAAATAAAATAATAAGGGCGTTTATGAAAAGCCTATACTGACATAGAGAATAATAAAAGACGGGATCAGTAACAAGCCAAAGTTGTCAGGTCTTACCAGTTGTGTTCATCATTGTGTAAGAAATTCTCGCCAGTGTAATGAGGCAAGAAAAAAAAAAGCTTCCAGGTTGAAAGTAACAGGTAAAATTGTTTATGAAGATGACCTAATTGTTTATATTACTTTCCCAGTCTTGGTACCGTTGACATTTGGGGCCAGATAATTCCTTGTTGAAGTGAAGGGGTGGCATTGTCTAGTACGTTGTTGGACATTTAGCAGCACCCTTACCTCTGTCCCCTAGATATCATTAAAACATGTCACTTGCCACAACCAGAATTGTCTCCAGACCTTGCCAAATGTCCCTCGAGGGACATTAGCACTCTCAGTTGACACTCATGGCTCTATGTATAAAAAACAAATGGGATCTACAGAAAGAGCTACTAGGACTAGTAAGTGAATTTAGCAAAATTGCAGGGTACAAGATCAATATGCAAAAAATAAGTGCCATTATTTCTAGATAACCAGCAAGATAGTGGAAGTTGAAATGAGGGGAAAATGCCATTTACAACAGCATCAAAAAATATTAAATGCTTGGGATAAATTTGAAAAAAGATGTGCAAGATTTATATACTGGAAACTAAAAAACATAGCTGGGAGAAATTAAAGACCTTAATAAATGGAAAGAATACACCATATTCATAAATTGGGAGATTTGGTCAGAGTGATTCTTCTCAAATTGATCTATAGATTCAGTGCAATTCCTGGCAAAACCCCAGCAGACTTTTTGTAAAAATTGACACACTGATTCTAAAATTAATCTGGAACTGCAGAGGAGGTAGAATACTCCCAAGTTTGAACAAGGACAAGTTATATGACTTACAGTGCCTAACTTCAGGGCTCATTATAAAGCCACAGTAATCAAAGTAGTATGGTGCTGATTTAAGGTACATAAGTAAATCAGTGCATCAGAATAGTCAGAAATTGGCTTCCAAGTACATATAAGGTCAGTTGATTTTTGACAAAGGAATAAAAGTAATTGAAAAGATAGTCTTTTCAAAAAATGTTGCTGGAAAAATTGGATATCCATATGTTTAAAATCCGTATCTTGCTTTATATACAAAAATTAAAGCATAAATCTAAATGTGAGACCTGAAACCATAAAACTTATTTTAAAAAAGTGAGATATTTTGGTATGACACTAAAGCACATCAATAAAAGAAACAGTTGGGGCGCCTGGGTGGCTCAGTCGTTAAGTGTCTGCCTTTGGCTCAGGTCATGATCTCAGGGTCCTGGGATCGAGTCCCACATCGGGCTCCCTGCTCTGCGGGGAGCCTGCTTCTCCCTCTCCCCCCCTCCCTCCCTGTGTTCCCTCTCTGGCTGTGTCTCTCTCTGTCAAATAAATAAATAAAATATTTAAAATAAAAATAAAAAAATAATAGATAAAAGCAACAGTTAACCTGGATTTAATCAAAATCAAAAACTTCAAAATACATTGTTGAAGATACTCAATAGGTGAACAGATAAACTGTGGTATATCTATAAAATGGATTATTATTCAGCAGTAAAAAGAAATGAGCTGTCAAGCCATGGAAAGACATGGAAGAGCCTTAAATGCATATTGCTAAGTGAAAGATGTCAGTCAAAAAAGGCCACAGACTGAATGATTCCAATTACATGACATTCTGGAAAAGGAGAAAATGTGGAGACAGTCAAAAGATGAATGGTTGCCAGGGGTTTCTGGGGGAGGGAGGGATAAAAAGGGGGAGCATAGGATTTTTAAGGCAGTTAAACTTCTGGATGATAGTGTAATGGTGGATACAAGTCATATATTTGTCAAAACCTATAGAACCCTAATGTGAACTATGGACTTTCAGTTAGTGATGTATCAATACGTCTCATCAGTTGAACCAGCTGTATCACACTAATGTGATGTTAATAACGGGAAACTGGAGGGGTGCCTGGGTGGCTCAGTAGGCTGGGCGTCCGCCTTCGGCTCAGGTCGTGATCCCAGGGTCCTGGGATCGAGCCCCGCGTCGGGCTCCCTGCTCCGCGGGAAGCCTGCTTCTCCCTCTCCCACTCCCCCGGCTTGTGTTCCCTCTCTTGCTGTGTCTCTGTCAAATAAATAAATAAAATCTTTAAAAAAAAAAAAAAAAAGGGAAACTGGAGGGGGAGTGGGGAAAAGATATATATGGTAAGTCTACTTTCTGCTCAATTTCTCTGCAAACCTAAAACTGCTCAAAAAAATAACCCATGAGGGGTGCCTGGGTGGCTCAGTCGGTAGAGCCTGCGATTCTTGATCTCAGGGTTGTGAGTTCAAGCCCCACATTGGGTGTGGGGGGCTACTAAAAACACATAAATTTATTTTAAAATAGCCTGTGAATTTAAAATACATATATATAAATATATGCAAATATGTATGTGTGAATATACTGTCAAGAGAATGAAAAGACAGCCCAGAATAGAGAAAGTATTTACAAATCACATGATGGACTTGTATCCAAAATATATGTTTTACTTATGTGTGTGTGTGTGTGTGTGTGTATCTACACAGAACACACATATATAGAGGATATATAAAGAAAAGTGCATCATCTCTGCATAATCTTCACGATAATTTACAAACTCCTGAACAGGCAGGCACACAACCTTCTTTGATTTAGTCCCCGCTTACTTTAGGTGCATCTCCTAGTTTGAGCCTTGTGCTCTAGCCTTACCAAACCCCTTGCACTCCGCTGCACACCAAGCTGTCTGTGTTACAGGCACACACACAGCCGATTCCTTTTTGTCTGTTTCTCACGGCGTTGTTTGAGGATTAGAAGAGATATTACAGATGAAGTACTTGGAACAGTGCTTGGCACATAGTTATTGCTTGACAGGTGTCACTTACTCTTGTTGTCATCTTGTCATAAATATTTCCAGACTCAGCTCTGGCATACCCCATTCTTAGAGCTTTCCCAGACTCAGTTCCCCCACAGCGCCCTAATGTGTGTCAGGTAAGCTTACCCTGTTCGTGTTTACCTCTAATGCCCAGCACAGTGCATAATGCCCTACGGGGTCATCGGCTCTCAGTTACCTCCCCTCTTTTATGTGAAATTCCAGCTTTTCCTTATTCCCATCAGGATTTTGAAATTCTTTAGTCTCTTTAAACAAAAAAAATGATCCCTCAACTCCATGTTCCTCTACTTTGTCTTGTATTCTTTATTTCATTACTCAGTCTTGTATTTTTTTTATTACCATGAGTCTTAAAAACATATATGATGAAAGTAACATGTAACTAACATGTTTTGAACGTGTATGCTGGGCACTGGTTTTTGGTTTTTTAACCCTGGTAAAATACACTTAATAAAATTTACCATCTTAACCATTTTTTTTTAA